GGAGTTGTCTCGCATCGAGTTGTAGGACCGAGCGAGTTTTCTCCTCGTGGGAGTTGTCTCGCTGTGTGTTGTAGGACAGAGCGAGTGGTCTCCTCGTGGGAGTTGTCCCGCTGTGGGTAGTAGTTCTGAGCGAGTTGGCTCCTCGTGGGAGTTGTCTCGCAAGCCCCCCACTCTCGAGACGATGTGGGAGCCAAGTCGAAAAGGGTACCGGATCGTGTTGAGAGTAGATCGATGTTGTAGTCTTGCGTTAATCGCTGGCATGGCGTGGAGAAATAAATATTTTTTTTTATTTATCCATTGATAGCGAACGCGGATGAGGCGATCACGAAACCTTTGGATGAGATGTCCAACCTTCGGATGGGATGTTATATTAGAGACCTATGGTCTGAGGTGGATGCGTACGGTTGTGCCATTGCTTCAGTTGCGCTCTTCAATTTTTTTTTTTTTTTTTTTGAGCTTGTTGATACCCACCCCATTTGGAGATTTCTTATCTTTGGGGTAGAGAGATGATACGCTACTCTTAGGTTGGAATGTCTAACTCTTTTGGGTAGAAATGTAAGAGGGTGTATCACCCTTAAGATGAGATATCCAACCAATGGAATGTTGAGCACACAGATTTAGAGAGCGCGGATGCAGAGTGCGTGCGCGGAAGCGGATGTGGAGCGCATGCGCTGACGCGGATGCGGATCGCGCGGATTTGGAGTGCATGCACGGATGCGGAGAGCACGGATTTGGAACGCATGCGCTGATGCGGATGCGGAGCGCGCGGACGCATAGCATATCATAGCATAGCATAGCATAGCATAGCAGATGCGGAAGCATACATAGCCTATCATAGCATAGCATAGCATATCGTAGCATAGCATATCATAGCATAGCATAGGATATCGTAGCATAGCATAGCATAGCATATCGTAGCATAGGATAGCAGATGCTGAAGCATAGCATATCATAGCATAGCATAGCATATCGTAGCATAGCATATCATAGCATAGCATAGCATATCGTAGCATAGCATAGCAATAGCATAGCATATCGTAGCATAGCATAGCATAGCATATCGTAGCATAGCATAGCATATGCGGATGTGCATATACTAATGTGGACCACGCGAATGTTGAGTGCGCGGATGCTGAGCGCGCGGATGTGGAGCGCATGCGCGAATGCAAAGAGCACGGATGGGAAACGCATGCTCAGATGCGGCGTGGAACGCGTGGATGCGGAGCTCATCCGCACGGAAGCGGAACACATGCGCGGATTCAGATGTAGAGCACACGAAAGCGGAGCACTTGTGGGCACGCAGATGTAGACCGCGCGGATGTTGAGCGCGCGGATGTGGAGCGCATGCGCGGATGCAGATGTTGAGCGCGTAGATGCGGAGCGCATCCGCACGGAAGAGGAGCACGTGCGCGGATGCGAATGTGGATGCGGATTGCGCGCTCGTCGCTTGGGGCGCGACGTTGGGGATGTGTTATCCTTGGAGTGAAGAGGACATACCCAACTCTTGAGATGAGATGTGAATTTATTGGAGTTCAAAGGTAAGGGAGGATGTACCACCCTTGTGACGAGATGTCCAACCCTTTGGATGAGATGCCAAAACTTGAGGTGGGATAGCCCCCCATCTTAGGTGAGGCGATCATGAACCCTGTTATGGTTTTGAAGAACTTCTAGTGTCTTTGACATCATTGGAATGAGGAGTTCGTAAGGGAGAGGCGTTGGCTCTCCGAGGTGAACATGGGCGATATTGCGTAGTTTGCGCTTCTCGGCGATGTTGCACAGTTCGCGCTTCTCCGCGATGAGTGAGTTGTTGTATTCGGAATTGAAGGTTCGAAGTAGATCCTTACGACACACTCGCTTGATGGGTGTTATCTTATAGTGGTGGTTGTGCTACGGCTGAAGCCGCATGAGGGGCGTTGACTCCTGCTATGGTGATGTATGGTGCCACTGCTTCAGTGACAGTGGCAGCACGAGTTGAAGCTTCTGCGATCATACTCTGAAGGTCCTCATCGGTTATCTGAACCGTTAGAGGAGCAAGTAGAAGTTTATTTTGTTGAAGGTTTCGGCGATCATACGCTGAAGGTCCTCTTCGGTTATCTGAACCGTTAGAGGAGCAAGTAGAAGTTGATTTGGATGGAGGTAGGCCCCCATTGATTCGATAACCCATGGCAAACGAAATATTTTGGGGGCAGAGGTAGGCCCCCATTGATTCGATAACCCATGGCGAACGAAATATTTTGGGGGCAGAGGTAAGCCCCAGGGAGTCGATAACCCTTGGCGAACGAAATATTTTGGGGGCAGAGGTAAGCCCCCAGGGAGTCGATAACCCTTAGCGAACGAAATGTTTTGGGGGCACTGAAAACCCCCAGGGAGTCGATAACCCTTGGCGAACGAACTATTTTGAGGGCACTGTAAACCCCCAGGGAGTCGATACCCCTTGGCGAATGAAATATTTTGGGGGCAGAGGTAAGCCCCCAGGGAGTCGATAACCCTTGGCGAACGAAATGTTTTGGGGGCACTGTAAACCCCCAGGGAGTCGATAACCCTTGGCGAACGAAATATTTTGAGGGCACTGTAAACCCCCAGGGAGTCGATAACCCTTGGCGAATGAAATATTTTGGGGGTAGAGGTAAGCCCCCAGGGAGTCGATAACCCTTGGCGAACGAAATGTTTTGGGGGCACTGTAAACCCCCAGGGAGTTGATAACCCTTACTAGCGTTGAAGGGCCTCCTCGGTTGTCTGAACCGATCGAGGGGCGGGAAGAAGTGAATCCTGTTGAGGATCTAGTGGGACATCCAAGGAAGGCCTCATAGTGGATCCCGAGCATGGGGAAGAGGATGTGACAAGCCAGAGCCTCCACGAGGTAGGAGGTTGTTAGCAGTGTCACACTCCCCTGAGCAGATGTCCCAAGGCCATCATGCGCGCTACGTGATTGTGTTTTCCTTCCCACAGACGGCGCCAAAATGATGATGCTAAAGTTAGATCACCTTAGAGAGTTGAATTATGATGAGCTGGAAGAGCATAGTGGATCACTGGCTCACGAGCTTGATGACCTTGAGATACTTGCGATCATAGAACACGTAAGCTAAGCCGGGGGTTGATCCGGCGGAAACCCCTCCGACGCTCAAGTCAGACGTGCTGATCATAGAAATAGTCCAGAGAATACAGTTAATAGTATTGCTCAGTTAATAGGACGTACCCGAAAGAATGAGTTCAAACTTTTATTTATAGCTTAGTTGAGACTGTCGGGCCCAAACCTTACTTGAAGGTGACTTGGCCTCGATGGTAGTGGTCTTCGATATCGGGCTCATGGCCCAGTAGATAAATAATTTGTAGTATATATATATATATATATATATATTACTTTTTCGAAAAAATAATTTAAGTTAATTTTAATTTCAATTTTATACGATCCAATAATTATTAGATTGTTATGTTTTTTATTCTACGAAATAAATATAAAAATTTTAAATATATCATTGAATTTTCAATTAATATTTTTTTATAATATATTTAAATTATTTTTCAATTATTCAATTCAATTATTTTAAGATTATTATTATTATATTTTAAATTTTTAAATACAAAATAACTGATGTTAAAGGAGGTAAGTGTTATTAATAATACTTTCGGGGAGTAAGTGTTGCACATTATATACTTCAAAGGTGCAAAGTGAAAATTATATTAATATTATTATTATATTTTAAATTTTAAAGGGTAAATTACAAACACCCCTGAAGTAAGATCAAATTACAAAAAAAAAACCCTCTTGTTTGGATAATTGCATCTACCCCTCAACTATGAATCTTCTTACACCTCCACCCTTATGTTGTCAAATTCAACATAATCATCTAAATTCCGTGGAATGTGTGCTCTAGTTTGTACTCGTTTTGTGTAAAAATACATTTTCTAATGAACCACAATTTAATATATACAAGCCAAAAAAACACATCTTTTGATCGTCTTGCTTCATAATGTGGAGTTCGAATGGGATAAAACGGGTACAAATGTGATAATATTCCATATAATCAAGAAGATTCCACTAAATTTGAAACCGCAAGGCTGGACGTATAAGAATTGATGGATTGTTGTAATTACTCAAATATGAGGGGGTTTTCGTAATTTTACCATATATACCTCAGGTGGATGGTTGTAATTTACCCAATTTCAAAATACAAAATAATTGATGTTGGAGAGGTAACACTACAAGAAATTATAGGTTTAGCGACAATTGATTTTGGTCGTTAAAAGCAAGAAAATGGTCACTAAAACTTACAGTGACAAAATTAATCTTGGTCGCCTTTGGTCACAACAGGGTTGTTACTAAAAGTCCTCTGCGACCAGTTTTTCAGTTGGACACTAAATACATATATTTAGCGACAACGCATTAATGGTTATTAAAAACGACAATTATTAGTGACATTTTTGTGCGTCACTATTGTAAAATTTTCTGGTCGCAACAATACCACAATGGTCTCTATAAGTACTCATATAGTGACCACATAATTCTGGTAGGTGAAAATTATTCATTTAACAACCTAATAATTGGTCATTAGTGGTCGTTGTAACTGTATATATAGTGACCATATTATTCTGGTCGGTAAATATTGTCAATTAATGACCAATTAGTTGGTTGCAAATAGTTTTCGCGTGGTTGCACTCGGTGTTGTAGTTCAGATGTTTTAGTGATCATCTTGCGACCGAATATTTCGTCGCAGAAAAATATTCTTATAGCAAGTAAATTGTTGGTTGTTGTTGTGTATACATCAGAAACTAAATAACAGTCGCAAAAATAACTAGCATTGGTTGTTAATGGTTACACATCAACAACCAAACGGTGATTGTAAAAGCTATTTAGATTAGTTGCTAATGGATACATTTTACGACCAAATACGATTCAAAATATAAGATAAAACCGGTTACTAATTTACATATATTAATAACTCATTCTTAATTTCAAATGATTTAATACTTATACGATAACTACTAATAATGGCTCCAAATAATCAAACAAAACTCAAAGTTGTAAGTTTATAAGTAAAGAATCAGGCAAATGACCATTAATGAATTTCAATCAATGTTATACAAAATAATCCTAAAACCAAGCCATTGTAAGTGGTGTCCAACATTTCGTTCATTAATATTACAAGTTGAATTTTTTGGATTTTTACTCTCATCAAAGACCGGAAGTACCAAATCTTGATTCTTGTGTAGGTTCCACTTTTAAGCCCATACTTATCCCTGAAGCTGAAAAGAGAAAAATCCTCCTGCAAATAAAAACAATATTCTCATCAGCTAACATGCATATTAAAGTCAAAGGCTAAAGAAGATAAAAAAAAAAACATATGATGCAACATGCCCAAAATCAGTAGCACAGACTATATATATTCAAAACCACTAGATTAATTAAAGTATCACTCATAGTAATTGCAAAGAAAGACAACATTAGTACTAGAGTAGAACTAGAAGAACAAGGTTGCCAAGAAGTAAAAACAAAGTTGGCGAGCACATTAACAAAATTGCATAAATTGTGTCTGCATATAATAGAATAAAACAAAGCTAGCTACATAAAATTCAATACATAACCCAAATTAATGTACTTACATCTGCTCTTGCTAAACCACTATCTCAAGTACACTGTCCACAACATTACGTACCCACTGTAAAAAAAAAAAAGATTTATGTTAATAATTATGAATTCCTTTTCACTAACAAACTTAGGAATCATACCATCCTTCTCATCACTTGTCCAGAGAAATAGAGAAAAAAAGTAATAAAGAGCAAAAACACCATTCAGAATAATAATATGAACATTCATACCCAGAGAAGCAATTCAAGTGAGATGAATATAAGAAGTTCCAAACTCATTATCCAAGCATCATATGGTTTTCACATCATCAGCACATAAGAAGTCATAGCATTGTATATTCATCAAGCATACATAAGACACCATGTTGCACAAAAAATAATTATTAAATTCACCATTTTCTCTATTAAAATGCTGAAATTTTTTTCTATCCACAAAAATATATTAGGGAAACTTAAGGGTAACTTTTCAGATAATAGTACTTCTTTTCTGTCCACAATAAATCATAACATATCTAATGTAACAATGACTAAATAAAAACTTTTAAACTATTTATTATACCTGCATTTATTTATTAATCCAGATCGCTATCTACATTGGCATGAGCTGCAGCTTCATCATCACTACTCCAATATTCAACTAGGGTGTCATCTTCGTCTTCACCATCTTCTTCTTCGTCATGTTGATTATTGTGCACACCTGAATTAACTATCTTTTCAGCAATTTCTATCTCTAAAGGAGCTTCATCAGTGCGTACTACCGAACCAACCTCTAAAGCATTATCTTCAACTTCAATATAAACACAATTTTCTTGCTGATATGCATCAGGTTCATTTTCATTAGCAGAATGAATGATTGATGGGTCAAAAAGATGTCGATGTTGTACATGTTGAACTACTTTCCAGTTTCCACCTAATTTAGTATCCCTCACGTAGAAAACTTGAGTTACTTGATTTCCTAAGATATAAGGATCATTTTCGTACCAGACCTTACCCACATTTATGCTAACGAGGTCACTGTCTATCTTTACTACTTTATGTCTATCCAAATCAAACCATTTACAACTGAATAGTACACATCGGTAATCATAAGCGTAACTCAACTCAATCACATCTTCTAAAACTCCATAAAACTTAATCATTTTACCTTTGTGAACTGAATCTGTACACACACCACTATTTTGGGTTACTCGTCTAGAATCTCTTTTACTAGTTAGATACTTAACTCCTTCTACTATGCACCCACTACATTTACTAATACGGTAATCAGGGCCTGATGCGAGTGCAAGAAGTTCATCCGTAGCTTCTATGGATTTTATATTTCGAAGTTGTTTAATCTAATATATAAAATATATATGAGTTAGTATGCCCCGAATAAAATAACTAAATATTAATTGAAATAATTAAAATATAAATTTGAGATCTTACTCGATTGTCAAACCATGAAGAAAACTCTTTTTTCTGTCTAAACTCCCAACCAATAGGATTTTCTTGCTTAAGTATTTCTTCATGCTCCCTGAAAAATAGAAGAAAAAAAGTAACACAATCAACACATGTAAATTATTATTATAATATTATTGAAAAAAAATCAAGTTACCTCATATACGATTCTATCTCCACACAATTATTCAAGACAAACCAATGCAATGCATTATATTGTTCAGTGGTCATCTGTACAAAATTTGTTTCTCCAAAGGTTCGAATTTTACTTCGGAAAATAGAGATAGATGCATTTGGATGTTCATCACCATCACAATTTCTTTCATCTCTATTGTACTTTGTCTCAACTCCACGAAGATACAACGAACAAAAATTCAAGCACTCTTTCACAATATAAGCCTCTGCAATTGAGCCTTCAGGACGAGCTCTATTTCGGACCATTCCTTTTAGACTACTTAGATACCTATTGAAAATATATAAACGAAAAACATAAATAACACAAATAAATAACAAAAAATAAAAGATACTAAGTTAATTTTAACAAATTCTAAAAAGTAGTAACACAATTATCTGTTACCTTTCAATAGGATACATCCATCTATACTGTACAGGTCCTCCAATCTTTGCTTCTTGTGCCAAATGAATTGCTAAATGGACCATAACATCAAAAAACGCAGGTGGAAATATCATTTCTAACTTGCATAATATCACAGGAATTCTTTTCTCCAGATTGTCTAGGACATTCAAGTTTAGTTTTCGAGAACACAATTGTCTGAAAAAACTTGCCAACTCAGTTACAGGATCCAAAACATCTTTATGCAAGTAACCACGTAGTCCTACGGGAAGCAGCCGTTGTAATAAAACATGGCAATCATGACTTTTCAACCCTGTTATCTTACCATCCTTGATATTCACACATCTAGATATATTTGCAGCATATCCATCAGGAAACTGTACTCCTTTCAAGAATTGACAAAACTCTTTTCTCTCTTTTTGGGATAGAGCATAGATTGCACGCGGCTTTAAACACTTCACTTTACCTTCTTTATTTGCTTTGACACTTTTCAACGATTTTAAGTGTAACTCACTCCTTATACCCATGTCCTCCAAATCTAAACGAGCTTTTTCCGTATCCTTAGTTTTACCATCGATGTCTAGTATAGTTCCCATCACATTTTCACATATATTTTTCTCAATATGCATTACGTCAAGATTATGACGTAATTTGAGTTTCGACCAATATGGCAACTCAAATATTATACTCTTCTTGGTCCAACAGGAGTGCTCCGAACAACTCTTTCGTTTTCGATCAGTGGAATGTTTGCCAAGCACAATATTTTCGACTTCCTTCAATTGTATAATAATATCGTCATTGCAAAGCTCTACAGGCTTGGGTCGATATTCTTTCTCTCCATTAAAATTAACACTTTTCCGATATGGGTGATGACGTGGCAAATATCGTCTATGACCGATGTAACCAATTTTGTTTCTTAGCCTTTGTGAAGGAGTATTAATGCTACATCTTGGACAAGCATAATACCCCTTTGTTCGATGTCCGGAAATATCACCATATGCAGGAAAATCATTAATCGTCCACAAAATTGCTGCATGCAAGCGAAACAATTCTCCGGTTTTGGCATCTCTAGTTCTCACTCCAACTTCCCACAATTCGTTCAATTCATCTATCAGAGGTCTTAAATATACGTCAATATCTCTTCCAGGTGATCGAGGACCAGGAATCAATAGCGACATAATGAGATAAGGTTCTTTCATGCATTGCCAAGGTGGTAAGTTATATGCCATCAAAATCACCGGCCATACACTATAAGAATTACTCATATTGCCGAAAGGATTAAATCCATCAGTGGCTAGTCCAAGCCGAACGTTTCGAGGATCTTGAGCAAACCAAGGATATTGTTTATCGAGATCCTTCCAAACTTCAGAATCTGCAGGATGAATCATAGTGTCATCTTCCTCAATCTTACGGTCTTTATGCCATCTCATATCAGAGGCTGTCTTCCTTGACAGATACAGCCTTTGTAATCTTGGCTTAAGCGGAAAATAGCGTAAAATTTTGTGAGGAATTTTCTTTTCTTTTCCATCGTTCACCTTCCATCTAGGCTCTTTGCAGACCGGACAACTATTTAAGCTCTCGTATTCTTTCCAGAAGAGAACGCAGTCATTTTTACATGCATGAATAAACTCATAGCCCAACCCAATGCCTTTTAATACCTTTCTGGCCTCATAAAATGACGAAGGAATAATATCACCTTCTGGCGTATACTGTTTGAATAAATCAATAATCATATCATAACATTTATTAGTCATTCGGTTCAAGACCTTGATGTGAAGCAACTTGACAAGGAAAGATAACAATGACTTGGAGCAACCAGGATATAATTCTCGTTGTGTATCACTCAACAAGTTTTGAAAATTGTCCACTTCATCATCTTGTACGATATTTGGTTGAGCAGCATTGTCAGCATCAAATGATTCAAACAAATTCTCATTATGATCAGAATTATGCATACCAAATTTTAAATCTTCCAACATCTCTTGCTCCTCAAATGTTTCATCCATATTATGCGCTGAGTCATCTTCTGCATAATCATCTTCTTCTATGTACTGATTAGGATTTTCACCATGGAACTCCCATACACTATAATCAACATCCATCCCATTAATGAGTAAATGCATTTGGACTACATAAGGTGAATGAAATATCTGATTCAAGCAATTTCCACATGGACAAGGTATATCTTTTCTCTCCCCAATATGTTGTAAAGCAAATTTCATGAAACCTGTAACTCCATCAACGTAATCCTTAGAAGTAAAATCATTGAGTTTGATCCAGCTCCTATCCATTTGTATTTTTCTGGAGTCAAAGATAAAAACACAGTATATTTTAATAACAATGATATAATAACATAATTATAATTAATATAAGAAAGCACAATAGCAATCAGAATAATATGAATTTGGAAGAACCATAACAGAAAACAACTACATAATCAGAATACCCATAGCAAATCTTCTATTACTCAATGAGTTTTAAACAATAATTCTTCCCCGTTCAACATACAATTCACAAGTTGCCAATATCACAGCTTATTCAAGTACATATATAAATATCTTATAATTCGAAACCTAATTTTACAGAATTGTACAAAATCCTAGATTGTAAAAATAAATAAACAATTAATACTAACCCAAGAAACTCAGGCCGAAGCGCATGGAGTCCGAAACAATAGAATGCAACCAATCTATGGTGAATTCCCAAAATCTGCAGATTTCACCAATACTTTTATTGTACAATATAATTTATATCAATCTGTTTTGGGGAAAAGTAGAGAAGGCAGATGTTGGTGATGGGTTGTTCTTTTTCTTTAAGGATTGAATTTTCTTCAACTGCAACAGTAGGGTTCTAGACGGCGAAAAGTGCTTAGCGATGTGGAAGATGTGCGGCTTCGTTTCTCTTTTCCCAAGTTAATTATTTTTCAATTATTAAGTTTTTTATTTCCTTGGTTGTATATATTGAACTATTAATATATATTATCTGACTCACACGATGGACAACTATAATTGATGATTTAATTAATATCTTAAAGCCTATATTAATAGTTGAATTAATAGATACATATTGAAGAAATTGATAGCCTGACAAATTAGACTTTAGTTTATACAAGTATTATGTTAATTAAAAATTACACATTAACAATAAATTTAAATATAATTATTGTTATATTTCAAAAAATGTGAATGAAGTAGATCATTTTGAATATAATTCAGGGAATTGCAAATTTACTTTTACTTTAGAATAATTCTAGATATCAAAATTATAATATTATCTCATCAAAAGTTCAAATGTGCAAATAAACATACTTTAATATGTAGTGTAAATTAGAAGAAAAAAAATCATCACTTTTCTTGTATTCGCCCATCCGGTTTGTTGACGGGTTACTGTTGTTAAATCGCAAATCGAATCGTAAATTGTTTTGCTAAATCAACAAATCGTAAATCGTAGGGGGTGTAAACGAGTCGAGCTCGAGCCGAGCTTTGCTACTTTGGCAAGCTCGAGCTCGAAGCCATTTTGACGACCTCGCGTTCTTCGACCTCGAGCTCGATGTATTTTTAATAATATTTAATAGAACTTTATTATTATAAATTAGAATAAGAATTTTTCGGTAATTTATTTTTTAATTAATTATATTAATTTATTATTTAATGTATATTAATTATATTTCAAATAAAAATAAAGCTTCTGAACTCATGAACAACTACTAAGAATGAGCTCGGGTTCGACTCGTCAAGAAGCTCGAGCTAAAAAAAATCGAGTTCGAATTCGAACTTCTGTCGAGCTAAAAATTTTCGAGTTCGAGCATAAAACAAAATTAAGTATTGGGAAAAAATAGGGGTGAGCAAAAAAACCGAAAAACCGAAAAACCGAACCGAAAACCGAAACCGAACCGATTTATACAAAATTAAAAATTACCGAACCGATTTCCCGAACCGAACCGATTTATACAAAATGATGTATTTTTGATATATATTATAAATACTTACCCTATCGTGCCTCTATCTTTCGAGCGCCTCCATGTGACATATTTTTCTATTAATTAATTTTGGTTGTGACGTGTTTTTTATTAGTTAATTTTTAGTTGTTATTTGTTAATTTTCTCAAAAAATATAATGAAAGTTCAAGTATATAGGTTTTATGCCGAATCGGTTCGAACAAATAGACAAAATCAAAACCGAAAATTAACCGAATTGATACCGAAACCGTTAACCGAAAACCGAAAAACCTATTCACACCGAACCGAAAAAAACCGAATATAAAATTAACCGAATTGATACCGAAACCGTTAACCGAAAACCGAAAAACCTATTCACACCGAACCGAAAAAAACCGACATAATTCGGGTTTTAAAATATGAGAAACCGATATTATCGGTACGTGTTTGGTTTATTGGAAAAACCGAGCCGTACCGTCCGTGCACACCCCTAGGAAAAATACAGTTTTCGCTCGTCAAGTTTGCACGTACGGATTTCACATTTGACGCCTCATATTTGGGAAAAACACATTTGGTCCCTTATGTTTCAATAATTTAACACTTTTGGTTATTTCCTTCAACTTATTGTTAGTCCGTCAGTTATGTCAGTGCAACGCACACGGTTGATTCCATTAGTGATAATGAAAATTTGACGAGAATGATTAAAATTGTCGAACTTTTAAAATATGACTATATGAGGGACCAAATGTGTTTTTTTGAACATTGGGGACCAAATGTGAAATCGGTGCAAACTTGAGGGACGGAAACTGTATATTTCCAAAACTTATTAACTAAATAATATTTTTATAGTCAACATACTAAATAATTTCTAACTCTTTGTTTATTAAGTCTTTTCGTAAAAAAACTAGTTTGACTAAAAAAAATATTATTTAATTAATAGTGAATAAATATACTTATCTATGTGCTTTTATGGTTTATCAATAAAAGGTCGGTCGGGTAAAACTAAAAAAAATAGAGGGAAAATGAAAATTATTAATAAAAATATATCCCTAATTATTTACCTCTAAAACCTAGCCACTACCTTTTCCCTCTAAAAAGTGGCGGTAATTGATAGAAATTGGCGGTAATAATAACCTATCTAAGATTTGCACGATTGCAAATCTACCGTATTTTCCTTATAATCTGCTCCTCCCATATTCCTCTCTGCTATAAATTTGTGAATTTTATTCTCATTAATCTGTACAAAGAAACACACACAAATATTTGGGGTTGTCGTTGCATTGGGTTTGTGTCTAAACTCTGACCGATAAATTGGAGCTTTATTTTCCGGTAATTCTAAGATAAGTCTGAACAATCGTGCTTCCCCTGCTTTTGGTGGTAAGTATTATACTGATTTTATTTCACTTATAGGGTGAGGTAGTGAAAAGAGTTTTTGTTGGATCTTGTTTTTGTCATTTATTTGTCATGTGTGCCTGATATGTCATTGATAGTTGTGTTATACTGTATTTTTTATTATAGTATTTGTTTTGGTTTAAAATTCGTATGACGTTGTTTATGTTGGTCAGAATGCTTCCAACTTATTTATTTGCTTTCGTAGTATATTAATTGATTATGCAAATTTTACAAAACTTTAAGATGCTTTTGTCAGTGGTAAATATTGTTATATATATGAACCATCTTGTAAATAAATGTCAGACTCTTTTTAGAAATTTTTTAAGTTTACTCTGCTACACTAGTTTTTGTTGCACATCCTTCAGATTTAAAATAAAATTTAGAGGAATCATGAAACTAATAATGTCACTGTTTGCTTACTCTTGTAATTTGAATGCAATGAGATGGAAAAAACAAGAATTTAGCTTCTTTTTTTTTTTTCTATTAACAAAAAAAAATTAATTGTTATATTTCTTGGATTAAAACTTGACTGTGAATTTTATAATTTAGGTTTGAAAATGAGCATCAACTATAAGCGTAAAATGGAATTGTCAAGAGCGATGGCAGTGGCTAATAAAACTAGGGATTTGAAGCGTAAGTTGGAGTTATCCAAGGCATTGACGGCAACATGTGATATGGATGATGATCCAATTGTACATTCCATGCCTCAAACATTAGGTAATAATACTAATATTTATGTGTATTGTAGTTAATTAGTTACTCTACCCCAATGTAATCTATTATGTTGCGCTTTGAATGTTATAATCCTAGGTAAGAAAAAGAGAGTGTCAGTTCCCGTGCCTAGATCTGCTGAATTGAAAACGAAAAAGACTACTATGCAACATGTGGTACCTGAGTCAAATGTGAATATTAGAAGTGATGCCACAGGTATTATTGAGTAAAATTATATTTTGTTCATTTCCTTGTTATCATAGATGTAATATTTTTTGTTTTTTTGTAGAATCAACACGTAAGGAAAAAAGAGCATCATTTCCTGTGCCCGAAACTGCTAGCGTGCAAATGGAAGAGTCTATAGTGCAACATGTAAACAATGAGTCAAATGAGAATATCACTATAGGTATTATTCACTTCAATTATTTTCTTGTTTATTTCACTTATTATCATATATATATAATATAGTTTATTTGTTGCTTTGTAGAATCGATAACGGATGTAGTTGATAGCACATCTGATGCCACCAATGGTAAATTTTTTTTTAAATATATTACATATTTCTATAAGCATAATTTACAATTAATACATAAATTATGAATTTCACTTTTCTTACATTTCTGTTCAGGACCAGTGAAAGAAAAACGAGGTCGAGGTCTAACTAGAGGATTGAATACACAAAAATACATACGAAAATGTGGAGAGAAGCCAAAAATTGTGATTCCAAGAGGAATCAATAAACCTGTTGGGGAGCACAGTTCGAAGCACGCAACGCAAATTGGAGTATTGATTAGGCTTGAAGCTCCAATGAAAGTAGAAGGTTGGGCAAAGATTCCAAACGAGAAAAAGGAAGATCTTTTCAGGAGATTGGTTGTAAGTAATTACTTTACTTTTATTCATTTGTCTTCTCAACTAATTTTAACTTTACAATAGTATATAACTAGAGTATTTTGAATCCATTAAGAATAAGCTGAGTTACGACGTGGAGGAGCCTCATGTTGTGAGTTGTATTTGGAAGTCTTTTGCTAAACAATATTCCACATTTCGTTCAAATGCTCATATGTATTATAAAAAAATGAGAAAGCAAGGTGGTGTGGCACTAGCTAGAGAAACTATTTATGAAAAACTTGCGAATCGCCAAGATGACTGGCTTTGGTTGTGTGATTTTTGGGAGACACCAAAATTTAAGGTATGTATTTTCTACTTATAAGATTTTCGGGATAATAACAAGATTAAATTTTATATTTCTGATCCAAAACGCAAACTATCACATTAATTATTTGTTTAAAAATATTTGCAGAAAATTTCAGAGACTCAATCTAATAATAGGTCGAATTTGGAGTATACTCACAAATTGGGGACTAAATCTCGTGCGGCTCATCAACATGAGAATGTTAGTCGTGTACTTTCTTAGTTGAAACTATTTAACTATAATTGTTTCCTTACATTTGCTATTGCTTTGAAATAGAAACTAGATGATGTTGATATGTACACGGCTGAATTCTACAACACAAAAAATGGATGGGCCGATGAAGAGGCCGAGGCTAATAGTGTAAGGCTGATACATGTCCTACTATATTCTCTATTCATTCTACGTATGTGCTAAAAGAGAGTGTTTTTGATTCACGAAATGATTATGATGATATTTTTTTATTTTGAAATAGGCTAAAATGAAGGTATTGAAAGAACAACAACAAGCTTTGCCGGAAGACGAACGTATGAGCGTAGAACAAATTTGCATTACTGTCCTAGGAGAAAATTCATCATATGCCAAAGCAAAGGGCCTCAATAAAAAATCATCTGCCAAGAATATTTCTTCAACTTCTGAAGTATCTACTAATGGCGCACGATTAGAAGAAGACTTGGCCAGTACACAAGCTGAGTTAGCAAATGCAAAAGCTGAT